TTATATTATGTAATTCCTAAATTTAAGTAATTGCTCAATAATTTTAAAATTCTAAGCAGTATTGGCCAGTTTAATAATTTGTACAATAACTATAATGGGGTGATGCACATAAAAGAATGATACTTGTATATGACATAATTTTACCTCGCAAATGAAATGTCTTTTAGACTTTTAGAATGGAATATATTACCTCCATCGTATTAGCTCTCTCAATTTTCCTTTTCTGCGTATCTCTGAAAATTTGTCACTATCCTTTTAATATAGTGCGTTATGATTTAATTTATTTTTCTTTCAATATATACAAACTTCAACTACACACAATTGGCAATGTCCAATGGGATAAAGAAAATATATATATTTGGGGCTAGTAACATATACGTAGTATGATCTTTAAGCCCCTATTTGATTCAAAGAAGGGGATAGAAGCTAAGGAGAGAGCCAAGGAGGCTAGGGAAGAGAAGGAGATGGAATGAAGGATTTTGATAAACACTTGATTTTTTGTTAGAGGAAAAGAGAGGAAAGATCAATAAAAAGAATTTATGAATTTAACCTTATTTTATATTTTATTTTGCGAAGCCAGATAAATGTAATGTAATGAATCTAAATATTACTAAGGTCATAAATCGTAATATAAAATTTTATTATTTAAATTTGAATTTTTGATCTATTTATTTTAATTTTAAAATTTTCAAATCTATTAATTTATACTCCCCCCATATTTAAAACTTTGCTACACTTTCCTATTTGGGATGTATTTAAAAAATTTCTACACTTCCCATTTTTGGATAGTTTTTCCTTTAAAAATACTCAGTTATCCTTACTTTTTCTATCTTTAATATCCTATTTCCTATTTTTTCACCTTGTCTCATACTTTTACTACACTATTTATTACCCGTATAATATCTTCCTTGAATATTGTGCCAAGACCTAATGTAGTGATCTTTAAATACGGAGGGAGTATTTTATTGTTTATTTTTATTTTTTAATATTTTAATTTGTATTTTTTATTTTTTAATATTTATTTTTAATTCTGTTTTGGTTTTTGCTTATCAAATTTTAAATTTTAGTTACTTTTGTATTTTGATTATTTCAATTTTTTGTTTTGCTTCTTAATTTTTTAATCTAAATATTTTTGCTTTTTAAAAATTTCATTTATATTAATTTTTTTATTTTTAAAATTTATAATTTCAAAATGATTTTGTGTACCTTACAGCGTTTTTATCCATTCTCGCAAGTGGAAAACGAGAGCTAATTTTGTCAACACTCCCCAGACTTTCCTCATTCTATAATGGGGGTTTAGAAATTATAATGAGGTGAAAAGGAGGATTTTGGAAACCATGGAATTCCCTGTCCTCCCTCCCTACTTTTTCTAATCAAACACGCACAAATCATGCTCTTTCCTTCAAAATCCTCGAACCAAACAGAGCCTAAGACTTCCTTATTCGATATCACACCTAATTTTGCTGTATGTGCATTTCCTCTGTCGAAGATATAATAACACATATAATGGGGAAGGAAAGGAAAACAACAATTATGACCAGAAGAGAGGGTTTAACATGTAGAGATTAAAGGTAGTGTGGACAAGGAACAAAGTTGTTTACAAAATAAAGGTAGACCTTCTAGCTTTTGTATTGTTTAAAAAGTCTCTAAAAGCTTTTAGTTGTGTGTTTGGCATGACAAATTTTAAGAGCTTCTCGAAAAATAAAAGATCTTTTTTGAGATGCTACGGGGAGTAGCATCTGAGAAAAGACCGTGACTTTTAGTATTAATTTGTCCTAACAGCTTGTATACCAAACAAGACTAAATCAAACAGTCGGCTTTTTACCAAACAGCTACCACCTTTTATTTTTAAGATCTTTTCAGTCACTAAAAGCTAACAGTTACTAAAAAGCTCACAAAAGTATCTTTTCAGCTAATCGTGCCAAACATACCCTAAACCTACAAAGAAGAAGTTGAGTCAGTAAACGTATAATTAACAAAGTAAACACAATACGGATGTGCGGATAATTCACAGCAAACACGTACCCTTAGGGGTGGTTCAGTACGGTATACCGAATATTTTGTCGCATACCTTTATCATACAGTAAACTTTCGGTATGCAACAATACATATCGTTACCATACCGAAATTTCGGTACGATAAGGTACGGTATCGGTAAATTATCATGATTTAATATAACAAATTATTATATGTCAAATGAAATAAAGAAAATCAGTGTTAACAATGATATGCTAAAATCATTAATGAAATTAATTATAAAATACCAATGATATAATCTATTTGTGTTCTATTCAACTTTGAACAAAAAATATTATAAATATGTATATTTCAAGACATGATATATGAAGATAACAACACATTTTGTTAAAATAATTTAAACAACATAAATATAATTAAAATAACACCGATCTCCAACAAAAAGTACATATAATTCAAGAAACATGGATATAAAGTCATTTATCCTTGAATTAGTGTTGTGTTTCTAGTTATTTTTATAATTTTAAGGAAATTATTGGTTTGAAATTACGGTATGACGGTATACCGGTATACCGCTTATTTCCAAAATATATACTGATACCATACCGAAGTAATTCGGTGCGGTATCATACCGTACCAAAAGTGACTGTATACCAAACATTTCGGTAAATTCAGTATTTTTCGATATGGTAAGTCCGGTATACCGAAATTTCGGTATTTTTTCCCACCCCTACGTACCCTAGTCCCTAGCTACCAATAAGGCAAGTCATGTAGAGGAACTCAATTATGTCCACTAGTCATGTGGTTAAAATTATACTCCGTATTATAAATTTGTACGATCTTTTTTTATCTTTCTTCATCACGTTTCATTTTTGTCCCTCTTATTTAATTAAGACTTAACGTTTCATTAAAAAAATTATTTTTATCTTTTTTTATTTAGATTTTATTTTTTTAAAGGTCTAACCAATAGAGTGATGAGTAGCTCAATGCTTTACAAAAAGACTAATTTATAATTGGGTCTCGGCTCAGCCCAAATTTGAAAAACATGTATTTTAGCCTTTTTAGGTGTAAAAAATTGTGTACAAAACTTTCTTTGTAGAGGTGTGCCATAATAATAGTAGTAGTAGTAATAATAATAATAATAATAATAATAATAATAATAATAATAATAATAATAATAATAATAATAATAATAATAATAATAATAATAATAATAATAATAATAATAATAATAATAATAATAATAATAATAATAATAATAATAATAATAATAATAATAATAATAATAATAATAATAATAACAATAACAACAACAACAACAACAACAACAACAACAACAACAACAACAACAACAACAACAACAACAACAACAACAACAACAACAACAACAACAACAACAACAACAACAACAACAAGAATAACAATTATAACAATAATAACAATAATAACAATAATAACAATAATAACAATAATAATAATAATAAGAATAATAATAATAATAATAATAATAATAATAATAATAATAATAATAATAATAATAATAATAATAATAATAATAATAATAATAATAATAATAATAATAATAATAATAATAATAATAATAATAATAATAATAATAATAATAATAATAATAATAATAATAATAATAATAATAATAATAATAATAATAATAATAATAATAATAATAATAATAATAATAATAATAATAATAATAATAATAATAATAATAATAATAATAATAATAATAATAATAATAATAATAATAATAATAATAATAATAATAATAATAATAATAATAATAATAATAATAATAATAATAATAATAATAATAATAATAATAATAATAATAATAATAATAATAATAATAATAATAATAATAATAATAATAATAATAATAATAATAATAATAATAATAATAATAATAATAATAATAATAATAATAATAATAATAATAATAATAATAATAATAATAATAATAATAATAATAATAATAATAATAATAATAATAATCTTTTCTAATTACGCTACTTTTGATTAATTTATCACTTTGTATCCTTATAAAACGTGCATGACGTATATGCGTACGATAGCAGATAGCATGACAATTTTTGTTATATGATTATTATGATGGGCGTTTGCCCTTTTGATCAATCTGCTCAGTTGGTCAACCTATAAACATACTTACATACGGAGTATATCATATCATCATTACCCCGGTGACGCAAAGGCTCTCACCTACGATGGGGTAAGGGAGGGTCAGATGTACGCAGTCTTACTCTATACTAAAGGATTGAGAGACTGTTTCCGAATGACCCATAGTAAAAATCGCGTCGAAAATTGCATAGACTGGCTGTTACTTCATAACAAAGAAGCGCAGACAGTTTAGTGAGTCATTTTTCTTTATTCCATCCTATTCCCAAGCCAAAAAATAGTGAGTCTTTGGCTTCATTGAAAATGATGAGAAAAAGTCATTCATCATCGGATGGCAAATAATCAACTAAAAGATTTAGAGGTTGTTGGTCAACCTACAAACATTTTCCAATTAATTTTTAAAGACTGGGTGGTCAAACAAACAAAAATTCATAATTGTGCACTAAAGGTAGAAAATGGAATTCAAAATTTAGAAGTGAAAGTGACCAAGTGGTAAGGTCGAAAATAATTGTGTACTAATAAAGGTGTACACTTATATAATTGGTAAAATTGTACCAAAGGTTCATAATTGGTAATTTGGTATGGGTCGAAAATAGAATACTTTCTTAGGGTGCGATATACATGAATTTCAATCATTTGGCTCGTTTATTTTCACATAAAATGTAAACTATTAGATTGTACTACTCACTACTTGTTTATCATTAAAAAAGTAGAGCAATGGGCCCATGGCCCCTGAACTACATACATACCTATCTATCAGAGGACCCATCCAAATCAGCCCTGTACAAGTGGAGGAGGTTCGTTGCAAAATGCAAATTTTGTGAACTCTTTTGTGATTATTATGTAGCCAGAGAATAACGAGTTACTGATTAGTTTGTACTTTCTACACATATATATTGTATAATAATGGCATGCAAGAAAGATCCGTTCTCATGCAATGTTTTTGGCAATATTAAGCCTTCTCATCTGAGACTAAAAGAAGACAGCGACTTAACCCATAGTCCCATATCATCGATCCTCCACACAAATTGTGTCCCCAATCTCATTTTGCTCTTGTTGATAAACCATCTTCGTACTGATCTTTCAAGAATTCACCCTTCGAATAACCACAATGATAGGTGTCAAAGGTTAAGTCTCATTTTAAGAAGCAAAAATTCATAACAACAATCTCATCTTTCATTGATCGTTCGGAAATATTATCAATTTTACGTAATCTTATATAATCAACTTTACGTAATCTCATAATAATATCACTTTTGTCTTTTGATGTTTATTTTCTTTCAATGGTCCTTGCATGATCAATGATGATAACCTAGTATTTCAAGTGTTTACCTTTTCGATGAAAACATTACAAACAATCTCACGTTTTCATTGATCTTCTCAAAATAGTCTCATGTGTAATTTTTTTCTTTTTACATGTTTGTGAATTCTATTTCTCACTTTATTAGAAGAGTTTTTTTTTTAATAAAACCTTCTATCTCTACATATGTTTTTGCCTTTTTCTTCTTTTCCCGTATTATTTCATTTCATTTCCCTTTTCATGTATCTCTTCTCTAATTATTCTCTTTCCATAAAAGATATTGTTCACAATCTAACTACCTCTTCTAAAAGTATAATCTTGCCCGATCAGGATCGAGAACTAGGTTTTGACCTCTGACGATTTTTCCCGATCGATGACTTATGCAGCTATCGTGGAGGGGGCGGTGCCTCCCCCTCCACCGGTAAACAAGGTGTGGACGATCGGGCAGTGGCGAGGACGACCTCGAGATCAGACAAAGTGTGGACCTCAAGATCTACGACCGTTGAATTTGCGATCGGACGACTGTCCGGAAGCAAGGCACTTTACCTTGCTCTAAAGCAAGTCGGAGGCTCCGGATCTGAATTTTCTGATTGTATTTCTCAATGTGGCCTTATTGATATTCCTGTTGCTGGGTCGAAGTTTACTTGGTCTGGGGTTAGGTCCAATGGTAGACTATGGAGTAGATCAGATAGAAGTCTGTTTAATGAAAAAAATTAGATGCTTTTGATCAAGTTTTCATTTAAAATCTTGCTCATTCTCCCCCAGATCAGTGTCCTATGATGGTTCAGTGTAAAAAAACTCATGGTTAGTGGACCTAGAAGTTTTAAATTCCAAAATATGTGGTTATCACACTCATCTTTCCTCAACACAGTTTCTAAAAGCTGGAATGAAGTTTTTTCAGGTGGAGGTATGAAGGGTTTAGTCCTTAAACTTCAGAAATTGAAAAAAGATTTAAGGAAATGGAATACAAATGTGTTTGGAAATATTTTTGATGATGTCAAATTGTGTGAAGATGAAGTTTCTAAGGCTGAGCAAGAATTTCAAAATGATTCTTTAGAGGTGAATAGAGAAAACTGGTTTCATAAAAAAGCATTACTCTTGTCTAAGTATAGACTTGAAAGGATGTTCTGGAAGCAAAAACCACATATTAAATGGTTGAAAGAAGGGGATTGCAGTAGTCATTATTTCCATTCTCTTGTAAAGATCAGAAGGAAAAAACAGATGATACATACCATAAAAGACTCTGATGGTAGGGATTGCTCAACTGCTTCTGAAATCGGGGAGGCCGCAGTTAGCTTTTTTTTGTGATCTTTATGCCATTGAACCTGTGGTATCATCTAATGATATTTTGAGTTTATCCCTGCAATCATACGCAGAAGATGAGGTTAAAGATGCAGTGTGGGAATTGAATCAGAATGGGGCTCCAGGCCTAGATGGGTTTTCAGGAAAAGTTTACAAAATGCTGGTTTTTGTGGGGAACGATGTGATTAAGGCTGTGCAAGAATACTTCCTTGGGGTTCCACCTCATAGAGGCATTGCTAGTTCTTTTGTGGTCTTATACCTAAAGTAGACAATCCTTCTACTTTTTCTGATTATAGACTTGTTTGTTTATCTAATGTCACAAGCAAAATTTGTACAAAAGTTCTAGCTGCCAGATTATCTAGGCTTTTGCCTAAAATTATCTCTGAAGAGCAGACAAGTTTTGTTAAAGGCATGGATATTTCAAACCAAATTCTTATTGCACAAGAAATGATTCATGCCATTGACAAGAATGTAAGAGGATCTAATGTTGTTATCAAACTTGATATGGCTAAAGCGTTTGATAAACTAGCCTGGAGTTACTTGACGAGCACTTTGTCACGGTGCATCAAAATAATTCGATACTAACAATTATACGTAGTATAGGTGAAGTAGAGTTCGTATCCACAGGGAAAGGAATAATACTCTTTTTAATAAAACTAGTAAACAAGGGGGTTTTGGGATTGGGTGATTTAATTTAATTAATTAAACACAAAGATGAACGACTTATATGAGATTTAATTCAAGAATAAAAGGGACTTGACTTTGCTACTTTCCACTTGTTGATATATTTTAGTCGATCATTGTTATATCTATAATTTATCCCCTCTCGAATACTCAATCGAGGAGTATATCCAATTCATCGAGGGTAGTTATTAACAACGACCGTTCATTAACAACCCTTACTATTAATCAAATATAGAACAACGTCGTATACCGATTTAAAAGTAGCTTTTAATCTTTTTAACTCCTTGATGAAATCAATGGAGATTGATAACCTTAACACAACGTAACGGTTTCGGTTTAACCCACAAAATTAATCCCTCTTAAGTTTATTAACCACGACCGTGCATTAATAAACCGAAGTTACTTACTTGTGAAACCATCAACGATTAACCATCGGTTCGTTGGTCGTTTCTAGTAATAATTAATGTCGGAATGTTAACTAATCGTCACTTAGCAACCCTCCAACATTAATATAGAATGAGATTAAGGGAAGAATTAATAATTCAAGAGAAGAAGTTAAGAAAATAACTCACAACTTTAATACTCAACAAGCTTCAAGAGCAAAACCAAGAAATGGGAGTTTAGCTCCTCATTTGGAGACTAAACACACTAGAAAAATATATGAAATAACTATTCTAAACTGAGCTTAAGAGTATGGAAGAAGGAAAGAAAATTTGTGAAGGAAAAGTGTGCTATTTATAAGTGTTTTTCAACATCTTTGGCCGGGTACCCAACCGGGTCAAGTGCCAATCCGACCGGGTGCATGTCAAAATCAAATAATCTTCCACGTTCTTGTGTTTCAGCACGTTAAAATGTCCCGGGTCAAATCTCACCCGACCGGGTGTATTAATGGACTCGACCGGGTCCAGCTCTTTCCTTTTAGGTTCGGTTTTTAAATCAGACCCGATCGGGTGAAGATTTCTACCCGGTCGGGTGGATCTCCCTGGACAGCATTCATGTTGACTTTTTCTTCTTTTCCTTGCCAAAAACTTTACCACTATTCTACAACTATAAATGGAAGCTAAAAACAATTACAAACAAAACAAATGCTTATAAACTAACTAATGGTATCATGGATTCAGACCATGGCCCAATTACGTAGTCCAGCCCATAAACGGGATCAGACCTTAACGGGATTAGCCTAAATTACAGGATTAGCCCATAAATGGGATCAGCCCTTAACGGGATTAGCCCATAAACGGGATCAGCCCTTAACGGGATTAGCCTAATTACAGGATCAGCCCATAAACGGGATTCATGATTAAAAGCCGATTAGCCCATTAGGAATTAGGCTCACGATAGGAACCCACAGCCAGGCCGGGCTGGACAGCAGACCTCGAGCCTGGGCGGAGTTCTAGTGAGGCCGGGATATTCTTAGGGCTACGTGGCGAGCTATCACTCGTTGATAGATATTTGGCAACAGGCAGAACTCATCCGGAGGACGGCGACTAAAAGGAGAAAGCAATCGTGTGGGAATCAAGCATCGAAGAGTTCTATTTCGAGCAAGAATATAGTTTATTAATGACGCATTAATTGTATTAGATTCCTCCCATAATACTATCTCCCATGATCTATAAATATTGGATGTAAACACCCTACCAAGGGATCGGTTTAGAACTCAATCGGGGATCCGATCCAGAGAAGATAAAAGCTATCTTGGACATGGAACCTCCCAAAAGTGTCAAGGAGGTCCAAATTTTGACCGGGAGACTGGCGGCCCTAAGAAGATTCTTGTCCAGATCAGCGGAAAGATCCTTATCTTTCTTCCAAATCCTGAAGAAAAGTAATGGATTCCAATAGACCCCGGAATGCCAGACTGCATTTGAGGACCTGAAAGCATATTTACAATCAGACCTGCTGCTCAGCAAGCCTGAGGCCGGCGAGATCCTAACCCTCTACCTAGGGGTGACACAAAGTGTCATCAGCTCCGTTTTAGTGCGCAAGGAAGGAACAATGCAAAAACCAGTTTATTACATCAGCAAAGTCCTTCATGGGGCTGAGCTCAGATATCCATCCCTGGAGAAAACCGCGCTCGCAGTATACACGGTGGCCAAGAAATTGGCACACTACTTCTAGGCTCATCGAATCAAGGTGTTGTCAGACCTGGGAGTAGGCACCTTGTTCAGGACGGCCAAAACAGCCATGATTGTGAAGTGGTCCTGGTTAATCAGCCAGTACCAAGTAAGTTTCCAACCTAAATCATCAATCAAAGGCCAAGCCTTGGCAGACTTCCTGGTTGAATGTACTGCCCGGGACTTAGTTGAAGAAAAAAGACATGAAGAAGAAGATTTGTGGACCCTCATGACTGATGGATCATCATCAGGGTCCAAAGGTTGCGGAGGAGGGGGTGGTCCTCATCACCCCCGAAGGCTTCAAAACTTACCATGCCCTCAGATACAAATTTAACCTCTCTAACAATGAAGCTGAGTACGAGGCCCTACTGTCAGGCCTCAAGATAGCAATCCACTTCAAAGCACAAAAGCTGAGGGTCAAAAGCGACTCTAAGTTGGTTATCAAACAACTTAGGGTGGAATACGAGGCCAAAGAAGAACGAATGCAGATATACAGGGATACGGCCCTGGAACTTATCAAGTGTGTTGTGGAGTCAGATCTGATATGTGTTCCTCGAGCCCAGAATAGCAAGCCCGATATTCTATCAAAGCTGACTGAGGGCGCACCTGAACATCTCATGCGCAAATACAGGAGCTAGACAAACCTAGCATCGAGGTCACCAAAGACCTTGAGGTTTTCTAAACCGAGCAGAAACCAAAATCCTGGGTCGAAGAATTGACAGAATACAAGGAGGATGGAACATTGTCTTCCAATGAGGAAAAGGCAAAGTTGGTCAGAAGATGGGCTCTGAACTATGTCATTGAGAATGACAAACTATACAAAAGAAGTTACAATGGCGTGCTACTCAAATGCCTAATAAGGCCAGAACAAGCTCAGCAAGTGATCAAAGAACTACATGAAGGAACTTGATCATCCCATCAAGGTCATTCACCCTAAGTAGGAAAGCCCTATTGCAAGGATATTTCTGGCCTACAATGATAAGGGACTGCGCGGACTTTGCGCGAAAGTGTGAGGTCTGCCAGAAATTTCAAACAAAACCAGGCAGACCCGCCACCCTATATCATCCTATCAACACTGCAATCCCCTTTTCGAGGTGGGGAATAAACTTCGTTGGGCCCTTTCCCTCGGGCTCAGGAGGTCAGAAATTTGGGATAGTTGCAATTGACTATTTCACAAAATGGATTGAGGCCGAACCAATGGCCACAATCACTGCGGAGCAATGCAAGAGATTTGTCTGGAGGAATATATTTTGCCGATTTGGTGTTCCCATGCAAGTTATCACCGATAATGGAAAACAATTTGACTCCGAGCCATTCAAAGAATTCTGCGAACAATGGGGAGTTAAGGCTAGCAGAGCATCTGTTGCTTACCCCTAATGCAATGAACAAGTGGAAAATGCTAATAGAACTATTGTTAGCGGCCTCAAAAGCAAGTTGGAGTCAATGGGAACAACTTGGGTGAATGAACTGAACTATATACTCTGAGCATACCGGACTACCCCTAGGAAGGCTACTGGTGAAACTCCATTCACCTTAACTTATGGGTTTGAAGCCCGAGCACCACTGGAGACCCTAGTCCCAAGTAAAAAGGTTGAAGATTATGATCCGAAAAATAACGAGGACATGCTCAGGGCAGAACTGCACCTGATTGAGGAAAGAAGGGACAATGTGTTCATCAGAGCTGAAAACTACAGAAAGCAGGTTAAAGAATACCACGACGCAAGGGTCAGACCGAGGCTATTTCAGGTCGGGGACCTAGTTCTAAGAAGAAGATCTGCCAGTAAACCTTTGGAAAGCGGAAAGTTCAAAAATTGGGAAGGACCCTACAAAATCAAAGGAATCGTAGGACCTGGGACTTACAAAGGGAGGCTGATAGAGAGTGTGTGGAATTCTGAGCACTTGATGAAATTCTACCAGTAGGTTTGTAATCCCGATTTGAAGAATTATTCAATTAAAGTTTGTTTTCTTTCACAAAGTCCTTGTAAAATTGCGAAGGTTCTTTAACCGCAAAAAAAAAAAACTAAGGCTCCTATGCCTAATTTTGGTACTCGCAAAAGTCAAAGTGCAAATTCCAGACTCATCCAAATTCCGCAGCTCAACTTTGTCTGATCAAAAGATGAGAGCAGGAATACAAGATCTTTTTCAAGATCAAATAGCCTTATAAACAAAATCAAATTTCCTCAAGCAGGAAAAGATGGCTTTTCTCAAGGCCAAGATTGATTTACAAAAGCTAAGGATGAATTAAAGGAATTAACTTTGCACCGGAGAGGCCACCAGGCCTCGCCAATTAAAGAGGTTCATCACAAGGCTTAACTGACCTAGAGTGAAGAACCCACCCTACTTCGGTTCAGAAAATAAGAACTTAGGGTTAAAATTGGTAAAGCTCTCCGACACGGTTCAGAAATTAAGAACCCAAGGAAAGCGACATTGACCGGGAAATCGGGGCTGAAACTATGAGGACAAAGTGATAGAAAACAGACTTATCTATTTGGCAACCGAAGTCAGACCTTGAGGTCAAACCAGGGCTCCCAAGTCGTGTGGATACAGGAATAAGAGACGATTTCCCAAACAATCAGCCAAGATGGAATCCATCCTCAAACACAGAACTGAGTGACTCAAGCCGAGCTTAGAGAAGGTCAAAGCGGGGCAA